CTGTTGTATTATTAGTTGGGAATTACAGAAAATCACAGTGGTATGAATGCTTGTCATAGGCTGTGTCCAGTAACAGTGTTGTGAGCTCTGTTGGTTATGGAAGATTAGCTCTGCCCACCAACCTGTGATAACTAACCACAGGCTGCCGTGTCACTGACTCGGTCAGGATGGCTACTTCTTTGTTTTTAAAATATTTTAAAATTGATTTTAGGGAGACAGAGGAAGAAAAAGACAGAGAAGGGGAAAGAGAGAAAGGAAAAGAGAGAGAAAGAGAAACATTGATTTATTGTTCCATTTTTTAATGCATTCATTGGTTGATTCTTTTATGTGCCCTGACCCAGGATTGAACCTACAACCTTGGCATACAGGGATGATGCTCTAACCAACTGAGTTACTTGGCCAGGGCTATGTTTCCTCTTCTTAAGTTAGGAATATACCTGAAAGTCTCCTTTTGTAAGAAAAAGAAATCATTCTAACAGATTAATTTTAAAACATAATGCAAAATCTTATTCTTCCCAGAAGAATGTCTTTTATTGCCCATTGAGGTATAATTGATATATAGCATTATATTAGTTCCAGATGCACAACATAACGATCTGATATTTGTATATATTTCAGAATGATCACCACAATAAATCTGGTTAACATCTGTTACCATACATAGTTATACAGTTTGTTTTCCTTGTGATGAGAACTGTTAACATCTATTCTCTTAGTGGCTTTCAGATATCTATAATACAATATGATGAACAATAGTCACCATGTTGTGCATTACATCCCCATGATTTAATTATTTTATAAGTGGAAGTTTGTAGCTTTTGACCCCCTTCACCCATTTCACCCACCCCCTGCCTCTGGCAACCACCAATCTGTTCTCTGTATCTATAAATTTAGTTTAGTTTGTTTGTTCATTTGTTAACATTCCACATATAAGTGAGCCAAATAGGACTGTTTTCTATAATCTTCCTGGCAGATGACGTCAGAATTCTAGCCCTTCAGCGGTTTCTCATAACGTCCTTAAGATGGTCATCAAACCCTGCCCCATGGCTGGCAAGGCCCCGCTGTCAGTCCAGCCTCACCTCAAGCTCCTGCCTATAACCTCCACCGCCCCTCCCCCGCCCGCCATCCTGGCCATCTCTTGAACCCACAACACAGCCTTGCTCCCTTGGGACTTGGGGTCTGTGTCCATGTATGTCCCTTGACCCAGTTAGGAGGTGGGTCAGTGGGGCAGGTGCCTGGGGTGCTAGTCCACAAGGGGCAAACTCCCTCAAGAAAGACCATGAGATGAAGAAAACTGCTTCTCTGAGTCTGCTTGAAATTGGAGGGGGGGAGGGGTGTCAAGGGAAGGAGCAGGACCAGGACACAAGGCTATAACAACCTTCTTGGGAAGACTCTGGCGGCCAAGACAGGTAGGTACATTTGAAGCCAAGACTGAAATGCTCAGGAGAGCAGAGTTTGGTAGATTTAAAGCACGTTCACAAATTCTCTATCACTTCCCCATCAAGAGGGGGTTCTAGGTCTCCTGAACAGGCTCTGGGACTACCCTGATGAGTACAATGGAACAGAAATGATGCTGCATGGCCTCCAACGTCAGTCAAAAATTTCCATGCAGATTCACCTGCCTTGTTCTTTCTTGGGCCACTTGCTTTGGAGCCTTGAAGTTACCAGGCTGGGGATACCAGGTCAGAGGCCACCTGAGACAGGGATGTTCAAGCAGCTCCAACTGTCCAAGTCTTCCCAGCCCAGGCGTCAGAGACTCACTGAGGGAACATTGGACAATTTTAGACTAGCCACTGCCTGGATAACTGAGATCTTAGCAAGAAACACCAGCTGGGCTCACTCCACCTCCAGACCATGAAAATAACAGTCACATGGTGGTTGTTTTAAGCCATCACGTTGGGGATGATTTGTTATGCAGCAATAGTGAGTTCCATAATGCTAGGAACTTCGTCAGTCTTGCCCCTACTCTTGTATCCCCATTGCCTGGTCCAGAGCAGGTGCTCAATCAATATTTGTTGGATGAATGAATGAATGAATGAATGACCTGAGGAGAGGCTCACTGCAGCCACCAGCAATCCGTCTTCTCTGCCTTCCCCCAGCTAGCAAGTTACCTCTCCTCTGACCCTCCCCTTTTCCCACCTGATCAGCCCTCGATCTCAGTTCAAAGATCACTTTCTTGGGGAAGCTGCCCTTGAACTCCCCCATCTAGATCAGCATCCTGTCTGACACTCTCAAGTCACCCTGTATTTCTCCTTCATGACACTTCCCAGGGCTATCATTTCACAATCAAATGACCACGTTGAAATTCCTGGCTGGCTCTCTCCTGCCATTTATCATAAGCCACCTGACAGTGGCGATCGTGCTGATCTGTTCACAAGCGTGTCTTCAGTGCTAGACAAAGCCTGGCACTGAGCTGGCTGACCACGTCAGAACGTTTCTGTGGACCAGCAACATGCAGTTCAGCTTTTTTACTCACAACAATTCTGACACCAAATGTGTGTGTTTCTCTTTTCTCACACCAACCAATTTTCCCATTCTCTAGACACCAGCTGGGTGTCCTACAATTCAATTCAATTCTGACACTGATTACCCCAAGTTAGCATCAGACTCCACAGATTTAAGGGCTCAGGCCCAAAGACGGACCCCATGTCAGATGACGGTTGCAAGGATTGGACTCTCAGGTGACCCACTTCTGTCAACTTGGCTACAAAGTCCGGCGGTGGGCAGGCGCTTTCCAACAACCTCCACCTCTTTCTGGTTCAATAATTTGCTAGAACAGCTCACAAAACTCTGGAAGAGGTTTTATTTACTGTTGCTGTAGATTTATTATAAAGGATACAACTCAGGAACTGCCAAATGAAAGAAATGCATAGGGAATGTCGTGGGGCCAGGGCAGGTCTTCCAGGCTCTCTCAGGGCACATCACCCTCCTGGCACCTCAGCGTGTTCACAGACCTGGAAGCTCTCTAAACCCCGCTGGTGAGAGCTTTTTACAAAGGTTACACCACGGAGGCGTGATTGATTAAATCACTGGTCATTGGCACCTGAACTCAGCTTCCAGCCCCTCTGCCTCCCTGGAGGTCGGGGGAGGGGCTGTAAGTTCCAACCTTCTAATCTTGCCTCGGTCTTTCTGGCAACCAACCTCCATTCTAAAGTTGTTTGGGAGCACCTAGCCACAGTCGTCTCATCAGCATATGAAAGGCACCCTGGAGATTCCAAGGTTTTAGGAGTTGTGTGCCAGGAACCCCTGACAAAGACCTAGTGTTTGTTTTATATGTCACAACAGCCAATTCCACGATCAGAAGGGTCTAATTCTTAGCATTCTGATTAATATTGAGCTAGAACCAGTCTCTAACTACTAGCCTGTCCCCTACCAGGCTTTCCAAACCTCCTCACGTGCTTGTCATCCTCTCCACACAAACCCCAGGGAACCCGAGAGGGTGAGTGTCTTCTTCAGGTTTACACAACAGTCAGGGTAAGAGCTAGAATCTGAAGCCTGCTCTTCCAACTTGCCAGTTCAAGACTATTTCCATTACACTACACCGCCTCCTGGATATTTCTGTGGTAGACAGGCACGAGCAGAGCAAGGGGGACAGGCCAGGTACAGAAGGTCACCAGGGTGGAAAGGCCCGGGGGCCCTGCAACGGGCAAAACTGGAAAAACAAGGACTTTGCCCTCAGGGTAACCTTTCCTCCCCTAGCATGTTGCTGGTCATGCAGTTTAGACCCCCTGATCTTATATATTGTTGGTCATGCAGTTCAGATGCTCCCCTGGCATGTCACCAGCCATGTGGTAGATCGACCCCCTAGGAGGAGGAACAAGAGGCAGAAGAACAGCCTCATATGACCCCTATACCATTCCCCTAGGCATTAAGCCCTAGCGATGACATCTAGACCTCAGCTGCGTTTCAGCTCCAGGCCCAGAAAAGCCACAAAACCAGACAAATGATGCCATGGTTGACCTCACGACCGACTGCACTGACTCACGACCCCCTGCCCTGTACCTATCAATCAGTGGAGACCACGACCTGGAAAGGCCACACCTGGAAAGCTCATGAATATGCTATTGAGCGCCTCTCCTGGGCCCTCCCCTAAAAGCCCTTAGGACAGCAGACCCAATGCATTCTCCCTCCTTCTCAGGAGCACAGCTGTGCCTTTTTGTCCCCTTTGGCTTCCCCTCAAGTGCGTTACCTGTACCCCTCTCTCTCTTAAGCTCCCAGGGCCCCTCCTTTTGTCTCTGTAACTTGTTTCCTGAATCCATTTCTTCTATGGCTCATTACCTCTGTGACTTTCTAACTAAACTTTTGCTTATAGTTTGAGTCTTGATGTATTGAGGTTGCTGAACCGAGGTTTGGTCTGACTCCACGGGTCTAACACCTGGTGCTGTGTTTGCCACCTCTATTTTCACTGATTTTAAATGCTCTGGAGGAATAATCCCTCCATCCCAACAACAAACAAACTGTGCACTTTTCATAATGGAGCACAGGAAAAAGGGGAAGCTTCTTCATATAACATGTAGTATTCAATGTCTCTGTATAACAAGAGTTCATGGCAATATTTGAGGTGTCCCCCTGACAAATGCTTAAGGGATGAGCCCCTGAGCAAACATCTAACTCAGATTTTAATTTAATTCCTATTGACTGGACAGACCCTGTGTCAATTCTCTGCAGAGGGTGTTCCTTCCACTTTCCTTTCTTTTCTGTTACTGGTCATTTGCAGGGTCTTTGAAGATTAAAGACATAAACTAACAAAAAGAATACTCCAGGTGATTGTGCTGGTTTACTAAGACAGCACCCCTGAACAACTGAGCTTTGGAAGACAATGCAGTAACCTGGAAAAGAAAATGTGAAATTTTTCATGTGACTTAATGTAAAAAAGAAACAAAAAGGATACAGAACTATGTACTGCAAAACTCTAAAATTTAAAAAATGTATTTATGTATCTGCTTGGAAAACTAGAATGGAAAGAGATACAAATTTTAAAGTAACATGGCATTTCTCACCCTTTAGATTGGCAAAAAGTAAGATCACTCATCTCTAGTGAATGTCAGTCTCAGTGGAGATGAATTCTTTCACACACGGCTGCTGAGTGGGCTCACAGTTCTTCTGGCTGGCCTAGTAGTCAAATTGATATGAGACAGATTAATAGGAGAAAATAACCCAATTTAATTATCTATGTACATACAAGGGTTCTGTGAGACTAGAGGACCCCAGGACAAATCAAGCAGTCGAGGCTCACTTGCCATATTGAACTAAGGAGGGAGTGGGGGAGATGGTAGTGGTTTGTACTTCAAAGGGAAGGCAGGCAGGCAACTCACAGGTAGGTGAGAAGGAGCAAACATGTGGTGAACAAATTCTTGCTGGGCCGCCCAGAAGCAATGGGACACAACAGGGAGTCTAAGAACAGGCTTTCCTAGGTTCCTCCCTGTTGGCCACACTTAGATCATATTATGCTAAGGTGAAAGACAGTTCCCTTCCTGTAAGCAGGTTTTTCTATCTGAATTCCTAGAGGTGGGTAACAGGGAAGTAAAAAGTTCTTCTTAAGTTTGTTGGACTTGTCTTTAGTTGGAAATAATCTGCACGCTAGGGTGACACATTCTGAACCCCTACAATTTCTTAAAAATAACCAACTTAAAATAACCAAATCCCCAGAAAGGTTTACTTGGGGGGTGGCAAACTACTGCCTCTCAGGGTTAGCTGGAATAGAATTCATGAAGAAGCGGTGGTCTTGTTAAAACGATAAACAAACAAGAATTCACATTCTGGGTATCCTTAAAATATGTTCTCATATGCAAAAAACAGAACTAGGAGTAATTACAAAAATTTGAAAACAACTGCTATATTCACCCATAGGGAAATAGTTGAAAAATTAAACTTTGTCCATGCAATGGAACATGATTCAACCTTAAAAAAGAAAAAGGTAGACTGAGGTGCTCATGTGGACAAAGCTCCAGGAGATACTGTCAAGTTAAAAATATGAGGTCTGTCCAGAAAGTATCCATCCATGAACATGAAAAAGACACTTATTGAAGAAGATTCAAGAAACACTGTACCTAGGGCAATGACGCCTCAGTCCCCTTCAAAGTAGGCACCTTGGGAACTCACAGAGTTTCCTGACTTGCCATCAGCTGCCCCCTCATATTTTCCTGAATCTCATCAATGGCCTGAAATCTCTTCCCTTTCAAACATGATTTTAGTTTTGGGAAAAGCCAGAAGTCACAGAGAGCCAAATCCGGGCTGTAGCAGAGCTGAGTCACCTGGGTGATTTGATGATTTGCCAAAAAACTCTGCACAAAACATGATGCACAAGTGGGTGCCTTGTCGTGATGAAGCTGCCAATCACCAGTTGCCCACAGTTGTGGCCTTCTGAATCATCTGAATAGTTTCCGCGGAGGAATGTTCAAGTTTAATGCAAAAGTTGATGCAGATTCGTTGCTCTATTCACTCAGTCATTTTGAAAGTGAAAGCCACACAGTACACATACTCACTCAACAGCGTCTATCACCCCCACTGACTATTACAGTGAAGTCGTCACTGTTCATGTATGTGCATTCCAGTTCACTCTCCTTGGCTGCCAGGTTACATTGATGTTGTGCAAACCATTCTCATTATATTAACAATGGCTGGACTTTTCCTGGACAGACCTTGTATACTGTATCACTTTTACAATAATAATAATAATAATAATAATAATAACAACAACAATAATAAAAGCAAGCTGTAAAACTCATTTAAATTATTTTTAAATGATGTAGTTAAGCAAGAAGTCACCAGGCAGGTATATGATAATTTATAAAGAGACAAGACATTTTGAAAGAGTACCTCCTTTCAAAACTCAATGTAACATGGAACCTGATGTGTGAGAGAGATAAAAGCAGAGCTTCCTGGGAGGGGCCTTGGGCCCCATTTACCCGCAGAACCCAAGGTTCCAGGAACAGCATCAGGAAATGCACTGTTACAGACAGATTGAGGCTTCAGGGGCTGGGGGCAGGAGCTCTAAGTGCTGGCTGGTCATAAAAGGCTTCAGGGAAGGGACAGAAACAGTGCTGAAGCTAAAAGGGCAAGGAGGACGTCAGAGGGCATACCTGACGAGAACAGGCATTTCGAGGAGGATGAACAACCTGCACGTTGGGACAGAGGCCACCGCAAAGCTCCCCCATTCCCTGTACTGTTGACTGAGGACAGGTTTAGGCAGTGAGTCGTCAGTGACCAGGGTGGAGAATGGTTGGGCCAGACTAGGTTCCCTCTAGGAGCAGGGAGTCACAGGTTTCTGAACACAGCATGACAGAATGAAGGAGCTGCTGATGAACGCACTGCTGCATAGTCATCACCTCCCACCCTCGCCTGCCCTTGCTGCCAGTTATAGGCCAGCACTGGCAGCAAGAAGACCCACAACTTTCTAGGCCTTGATATATGAGTTCATTGTCACACAACTGATGGGTTTTGCCAAGGTTGTGCTGCATTTGGTCCGAATGGCAGGCCAGGTAGGCTGCGGACCTTCCTGTGGTGCTATTGTAGGAGTAACCCACATCCTAAGGTCAATGACTCTGGGGTTCCCAAGTCACAGCTCATGGTACATCCCTGGGACTGAGACCAAGGCCTTTTACTTCATGACTCAGCAGCTGTGGCACCTCTGAGCTGCAGTTTCTGCACCTGCAAATAATGATTCAATTATTCCTACAAGAAATATTTACTGAGCATCTGCTACATGCCAAGTATAGACATAGAAACTGGGGACTAGCAGTGACCAAATCTTTCAAAACTCCTACTCTCATGGAGTTTATATTCTAGTGGAAAGTAAATAACCCACTTCATGGGGCAGTGGAAGGGGTTAGGTGAGACATTTCCTGGAAAGCACTTAGGATAGTAACAATTCTGCACCCAAGTCAAAAGTGTGTGGTGGGGGATTTCCCCCTGGTACCACCAAGCAATTCTCTGACACCAGCTGGGTGACCTGCCATTCAACTCAATTCTGACACACTCTACCGGGAGACAGCATCAGATCTCATAGGCTAAAGGCTCGATCCCGCAAGACTGCCTCCTCACCACAAACCCAGGTTGCCCCTTGTACTTCTGACCAACTAACTATAGCCTGGAGGTTCCAATGAACCCCTCCTTGGGTTTGATTAATTTGCTAGGGTGGCTCACAGAACTCAAAGCAACATTTTACTTACTAAACCGCTGGTATGTTATAAAAGGACATAACTCAGGAATAGCCAGATGGAAGAGATACATAGGGCAAGGTATATGGGAAAGGTCACATAGTTTTCATGCCTCTCCAGGTATGCCACGCTCCCTGAATCTCCACATGTTCACCAACCTGGAAGCTCTCCGAATCCCATTCTTTTAGGGTTTTGTGGAGGCTTCACTGCATAGGCGTGGTTGATTAAATCACTGGCCATTGGTGATGGATTCAATCTCCAGCCCCTCTTCCCTACCCAGAGGGCTGAGGGCGGGACTGAAAGTTCCAACCCTTTAATTACAAGGTTCATTCTCCTAACAACCAGCTCCCATCCTTAGGTTACTGGAGGCTTTGCCAAAAGTCAACTCATTAACATAAAAGACACCGTTATTGTTCTCATCACAGGAAATTCCTAGGGTTTTAGAAGCTCTGTGCCAGAAACAGGGGTGAAAAACAAATACATATATTTCTTACAATACATCACAATATCAAGATCGTAATAATCCTCCTCCTCATTTTATTGTTATGCATCCCCTAGAGCCTTTAGTACCAAGAAGGCACCCAGTAAACACCACGGGGCTGGTCTGAGTTTCCCTACCTGGAAACAAAGTGCCCTACAATCAACACTGGCCTGACTGACACTAGCCCGCTTGTTCCTCTCTCTGCACCCCGGCCCCATCCCTAGCACTGTCCATTCCATCCTAATAAACAGAGCTGGGTGTGGATAATGAAGGAGACCACTCTTGGGGCCATTCATCACAATAAATGCTGCTGAGGACCCTGCCAAACTCTGGCCCAGCCCTCGAGTCCTTAGGGAGACGGAGTAAAACTGCAGGCTGGCGAGAGCCCTTCTCTTCTCAGGCAGTGACGACTGTAGTCCTTGACCCAGAGAACCCCTGAAGGACTGCCTGGTAGCACCTAGGGGCCTTAGGGAGGTGACCCGGCCCCTCTAACCAGGCCAGCCCATGGCAAGGCAAGCCCTTACTTGGCAGATTTCAGTGTTAAATGTTCATTTCAATGTGCTCACAGAGTGGATAATGGGCAGGAGCAGCCCATATTCTGGGCTGAGTGGTCAGAATTATTGGTATGAGTTGTAGGAAAATTGTAAGCCAACTTGAGATCGCTTTCCTTGGGGTTCCAAGAAAGTGCTCCATCAAAACTCTGGCTGGCGTGTATCTTGACATGTAATGACAGTTTCAGCTTTCCCCACCAACTGCATGCTAGGGTTCTGATGCCAGCCTCTATTTTTATAGGCTGAGCAATGCCTGGGCAAAGGACCAGATGAGAATCGAAGACAGAGGGACAAGGCAAGAGAAGTGATGGCGCAAGAAGCGGGGCCCATACTGTCCTCGGCCTCCAGCAGCAAACCCTGCGGGGCACGGTCTGGGACAGCAGCAAGCCGTCCTCACACGGTGGCCCGCTGCCCTGGCAGCCTCATCCCCCCTCACCTGCAGCCCCAGGCCCTGAGCGCCCTTTTGGCCAGTGCCGCATCTGCCTTGTTCACCACAGTGTTACATGAGTGAATGACCGCACCACCCCAGCCCAGCTCCGGGGCACTGGACTGCTCGCTGATCCCTGACACCCTGCATGCCCCTTCTCATAACTCGGTGCCTGTGCCCATTCCGTTGTCTTGGTCTAGAGGCCTTCTTGATCTGGTTAGCTCCTGCTCATCCTTAAACTCAGCTCAAATGTCACCTCCCTCTGGAAGACCTCGCTGACCCCAAGGCTGGGTGAGGTCCTCCAAAATGGGGCAACGACTGCCCTCCCACAACACTCATCTACATCACAGACTCCTGTCTGCTTCTTTGCTTGCCTCCCCCAGGGCTGGGTGGACACAGAGCTGAGTAAGCAGCCGGTGCTAAGTAGGTGTATGTGGGAAGGAAGGGCGGGAGGAAAGGAGGGCATTGAGAAGGATGCTGTCATAGGAACCTCC